AGTCAGAAGAACCGTCAGTGAAGCAACTCTYTAGTCAGACTGTCTAAACTAGTTAATTTTCTCAGTAGGAAGAAGTATTCAGAGCTCAGTCTAAATGTGGCTGCATTTGGTAATACATACCCCATCCCCAGCAGTATATTTAACTCCTGTCATCACCAACTGTGCAGATGAAACTTAAGGATATGTCTTAAAGAAATCTGGAAATTTGTAGTYGGTTTCCTTTTCATTGGTAAACTCTTAAATGGGACACATCATGCAAATCTACGTTTGAGCAGTTAAATGCATTTTGTTGTGGAGTCTCTAGGAGTGCAGAAAAGTTTAATTTAGTTGCTTTCAGTGCTGCGTAGATCTGTTTGGGTTCTATTTTTCACCTTCTTCAGTTTTCTGTGTTTTCTATTACTGAACTGCCAAATAAGGTCAGCACTTACCAACTACAATTTTGCCGTCTTCATTCTGCTCTGGCTCCAACATAAGGTTGGATGGACAAGTCTTCTGTTGTTGATATCTTTTAATTAATTTGTAAAGAAAAAGTTTCTGTGCTGCTATATAGTCATAAACCCCTCTCTCAAACTACAATAATCCGCCTTGGAAGCTGGAGGTTGGCTGGGTGTGAAGCGTCTTGTTTAGGTTTAAAGAGACAGCCTCAAAACGAGCTGCTTTGAGACACTTCTGAAAAGGGTTGAAAGAGGGGCTTGTGGAGTTACAAAAAGGAGGAATTCAGACCAGAGCATTGCAGTTCCACTTTATGTAGACCCCAGCTGAACAATTTCAATGGATTTAAAACCATGGTATGTCTCCTTTAAGTGAGTCATGCTACATTGTCCATGGGTAGAGTGAATGGGTTTTTTGTAAATACCCCAACACTCACATGCACCCCTAATAAGAATCCAGCTCAGTGTACCAGAACTATCCTTTAGATCAGCAGACTTGTTAAAACTGCGCAAAATTGTTGTTCCTCCGTTTTTACTCCATCACACTCACTCTCCAGCTAGTTCAAGCCTTGTCTCAAACACTCATCACATCTACTTGCAAACAGTTGTCTCATGGGTGCGTGTGTTTGTCTACGACTCTGCAATGACGATATAAAGGTGGACACAAGTGGGCTTCCAGGAGCAGTTTGGATAACTGCTGTCTAAACAGTTCAGAGTGACAGCTTGAGCTCGGTGTCACACACACTACGTGTTTAGCAGAGAAAGAAAAYGTTCCATGAATGTTTTCAGCTATGATCAGTCCTTTGATCGGGGCAAATGTCCATACTCTCAGATACGAAGGAAACGGCCTAAAGCTTGAGTTGAATTAGCTGCAAAACCGGGCTTCAAACAGGCAACGTTGCAGGAAAACTATTTTTAGCTTTCACGTTGTGCTTGCCAAAAAGGAATGAACACAATGTGACTGGACGTGTTGCATTTTTGCTGCATATTTGTTTCCTTTTCTAGGTTTTTCTTCCATTCTGGCCAACCGTTCACATAGTAGCATGCAGCCACGTGGCCAAGTCTGGTTTGTTTTGAGGCAACTCGGCCGACTGCCTTCAGCCTTAACYCCGCTCTCAAATTAACTGCAGGCATCAAGCATGGTGGTAATGCCATTCTGTTGTGGTCGCTCTGTCCTCATCCATCATGCCTCTGTTGTCATCTTTGTCTCGTAGGATAAGACCACGAAAACAAATCCATGATGGATAATTTGAAGGAGCAGATTTATGTCATGCTTGTTTGCGCGCTCATAGTTTTTCTATTAGTTCATGAAAGGGCTGATGTCACCTATTTACACACTAAACATTGCTTACACAGATTACTAGGTTACTTTTGTGAATAGCAGTAATAAAATCCAATCTTGACATACCAAAGCTATTTGAATGACGAGGCCTTTATCTTTCATCACAGTTCCTTTTAAATAGGTATTTAAATTCTCCTTCTGCAGGGAAATGAAAATGATTCTAGAGACTATTAACTGCTTTGAAGAACTCCTTCTTGGTGCTCCTGGGYGAGGTAGGAGAACAGACTAAAATATGTACAGACAAGTCTCATGCAGACCGAGCCAGACAGCCCGTAGTTTGTCTGACARAGGAGGGAGGGGAAATGGAGAGCATCAGTAAAGTAAAAACCCAGCCTGATTACAAGACCTGCTCTCATCTGCCTGGAAAATGTGACTGGACTGTGAGGAGGTGGAGATATGACATTCCAGCTCACCTCCCACTATGGACTCACATAAGATGATGACCATTGCAGAGGAACAATACAGATCCGCACAGATTTTTATATACTCTTTCCATCTTTGATCATAACCTTTATGGATTCAAATGAAAATACTTTGTCTTTACATCTATTAAAGCWGGAGTRTCAAACTCATTTTCACTGAGCRTTATGGCTGCCATCAAGGGGCCAGTTGTTCTTCAAARTTTCGTGCTTAACTTSAACTAAACAGGAAACGTCACATTCCTCATCTCGTTAAGGCTGAGCAACGCTTATAAATAATAACTGAGCTCTACGTGGTATTTCCTGCATAGAAACAGCAATTTAACACGTCTTCTTTTAAACACTGAAAAGTACTACGTCTGACTAAATGGAAAATAAATAATACAGAAATACCATTAAAGTAAAAGTAAGARAGTTTTACTCCCTGTTGAGTTGTAGTGAGTATCTGCCGCCTTGAGTTCTGAACCCACTGGCCTTGATTTTTGACACGTGTGAAGAAATTGTTGGGGTTTATATAACTGATTTAAATTACATACACATGTTATAGTCTTATGATAGAACTGTAATGATTGTTAAATGTGACTGTTTTGCTTAACTTGATGATTTTATATTRATAGCTACATGCCTGAAAACAAATTCAACACATAACTGAACTTTTAAATCTTCATTAGAATAGATTATAATGTCTGRGGGCATGGCTTCGAGAAGTGTAGGGACTCCCCTTGCTGATGATGTAATCAAATGGGCGGAGCCATGCCTCGGAGCCTTTGTTAAAAACAAATGCACTTCCTTGTTTTCGGTCTGAACACTTGTTCATTGATTAAACCAGTCTTCATAAGAGAGCGCTCCTTGTTTTTGTATGATTTCTCTTGAATATTTTTTCCATGCATTTGTACATTCTCCGTATGGTTTAAGCACACATCCTAGTAAAAGAGCACACATAATATTTTCTTTCACTTGTATTAAAGCTTTAGTTCAGATGCTTTGAATCGGGGCTCTGTGGAAAGGTTAACAGTTATTAGCTTACCTGTTGTAGATAGCTCTTTGAATGACCCCAGTTTCAAGAAATGTTTTAATTCTGACCAAACTGAAGAGCTAATTGCTAATCTGAGCTCACGGCATGCCTTCGCTGTTAAGTTTATGTTCTCATCATTGAGTCTGTTTTATAAACATGCGGATCACACGTGACTGTTAGTGTTTTTTTTCCTCCAACACATCCTCCATCCTTCCTCCACCCCTCCAGCTGTCTCCAAGTTGGTTGCCACCTGCTTTCTGTCACCTTCATACGTTCCTCCTGCACTAGAGAGCTCGTTTATTCGAGGTGTTGTGCGTGTGTTTGCGCTGTTGTTGTCTTAGATGGGCTAATTACAAGGCCACCATCTTGAGGTGTCCCAGCCTAAAGAGGTGGGACTCTGACTCACTCGACATCATTGACAGCACTGTGCGACGAGCAAATTACACACAAACATGCACATAAGAGGGCTATAAGACAATAATACATGCTGTCAAAGCAAATATTCCCACCAGGTCATTAGCACAGACGCAGACAGCGCACCGGCTTTTATCTGAGCTTTTGGTGCTGCAGTGCCACAACACCCTGCTGATTAAAAAAGCCAGAAAGYCAAAGAATGACTGAACAGCCGCCGGCGAAGTGGCACAATGTTTAGTTCTGTGTCTGTGAGAGGAGTGGGAGGAGCCCAGCGGTCACAGACTTGTTTAGATATCCCACTTCTCTTTGTGGTAATGAGAAACTGCACTCTCAGCTGGTAAACACAAAAGCAGCATCACTGTCGGCTTGACAGGCGGCTGACTTCCCGCGTGCCTGTGTGTGTCTCTGTGTCTGGATGTGAGTTATACACTGCACCGTGGACAGAATGGAGGCCAAAACCATTCGATTTCTCTACAGCCTGCACTGTAAAGGTAGGACAGGCCGTGTGTGTGTGTGTGTGTGTGTGTGTGTGTGTGTGTGTGTGTGTGTGTGTGTGTGTGTGTGTG